CCGACAAAAGAAGAAAGATTGGACAGAGATTATGTGATTTGACACCATGGTGTCAAATAACGAAGGATTAATGATTATGAATGAATAAATTGTGTAATCGACTAAAACTTGAAACTAAGAAATGTTGAGAAAGGATTGTAATCATTACTATGTATTAAAAAAAAGGAAAATATAATTGGCAAGACAGATTTTTGGCACGAAATGACATGAGCAACAAAAATCAGGTATTTTTGTAAATTTGGTAAAAAGTTAAAGGCATTTGGATAAATTCATTTATTTTGTATACCTAAATTACCCTCAAAAGTAAAATCACTTTATTTTGCCAGGTGGAAATCGGGTCCCACTAAAAAGAAGAAGCTAAGAGGCTCCATTTCTTTATTATTTTTCTTCAATTCCATATCTTCTTCTTCTTTTCCGTTTCTTTTTGTAATTTTATTATTTTTCGTATTAATTAGTTTATTTGTCAAATGCTGAAATTTAATTATTTTTAGTAGAATTAGCCGTGATTTAGTTTGGATAATTTTTTTATTAAATAAATTAATTTGATTTTTGAAATGTTGAAATTAAGTCAAATTAATTAAGTCAATTTTTTTATCACTTTATTTTTATTTATTTTTTCTATTTGGTTTTGGTCGATAATTTGATTTTTCAAACGTTGAAATTAAGTCAATTTTTTTATCACTTTATTTTTATTTATTTTTTCTATTTAGTTTTGGTCGATAATTTGATTTTTCAAACGTTGAAATTAAGTCAAGTTAATTAAGTCGATTTTTTTATCACTTTATTTTTATTTATTTTTTCTATTTGGTTTTGGTCGATAATTTGATTTTTCAAACGTTGAAATTAAGTCAATTTTTTTATCACTTTAATTTTTTTATTTTTTTTTCTATTTGGTTTTGGTCGATTAGAATATATATGATAATGTAAGAAATTGATCTAATTATATATAGGATCCTTCAAAAAATGTATGCATTATCTAAGAATTTAATTATTTCTAAGAAATATGATAAATTTGTTCCAACGATTTATTTATTTTTTACAAAAAGTTAAAAATTTAGTTGTGATATACTATGTCTTGATGATGCTTGATTTAAATAAAAATAATCAATTAAAAAGACATAAGTTATTTTGAACATGAAAATTCATTCTTGACATTCTTAAAATAAAAATATAAATTAAAATACGAAGTAAATGCAAATAACTTGATTGTTATAAAGAGAAATACGAATAAAACAAAGAATTCTTTTTAAAAAATATTTATAACATTTTTTTAATTTTAAAAAAAATTATATATGATGAAAAAAGTTATATTAAAAAATCAATGTATAATCTTTTATAAACAAACACAAAACAAAATATCTAAATTCTCATATTTCGTATATATCATTCTATAAAATACGTACAGAAAAATAAAAGGTTCAAGAAATTAATAGGCAAAATTTTACGATTTTTTTATTTGTAATTTCATTACCTTCAATTTCTTCCATTTCATTCAAAAATTAATTCGAAATTTTCTCGCCACATCCACTTTAGTTTTTCTCTCAAATAAATAATACCGTAAAATATGCATATTAGACATTTTGGGCAAGTCTTAAAAATTCTTTATAACTCTGACAAATGAAGTAACGTAGAGGAGGAAAAAAGAAAGTCGAAGGAATTTTTTTAAAAATGAATGAAAAAGAGTAAGAAGATGAAAGAAAATGAAATAGTTAAGGTATGGGTCCCATTCGTACATTTGGTAGCCAACAAAAGCCTCATACAAGTGATTTTCTTTTTTGGAGGGAAATATAAGTGGTTTTGGAGGTAAAGGGACATTTTCGTCATTTACCCGTGTCTTGGCAATTCGTGCCAAAATTCTGTCTTGCCAATTAGCACTCATCATTGGTAGATGAACCAATCATCCATATAACAGGTAGAAGCTTCAAACTAGTAATAAATGTTGGAATGAGAAAAGGTACTTACTATTAAGAAATATGCTACTCCCTCCGTCCCTATTTACTTGTCCATATTTCCTTTTTTAGTTGTCCCTATTTAGTTGTCCATTTTGACAAATCAAGAAAGGACAACAAATTTTTTCCTATTATAACCTTATTTACACTTCTTGAAAATTGTAAAAGTGTATGTTGTTTCCCTCCAATTTATTTCACTTGAATTCAAATAAGTGGTTGTAATTTTGAAGTGAAAAGTTGTCATAAGGGTAAAATTGTAACTTCACTGTGCTAATCATTGTTGCTTTAATCTGTGTGTCATTTCTAAAGTGGACAACTAAAAAGGGACGGAGGGAGTACTATAATAGTAATTACCGGCAAATGAATCATCTATTATTTACTCGGTTTCAGTGCATCTAATACTCCCTCCGTCCCTATTTACTTGTCCATATTTCCTTTTTTAGTTGTCCCTATTTAGTTGTCCATTTTGACAAATCAAGAAAGGACAACAAATTTTTTCCTATTATACCCTTATTTACACTTCTTGAAAATTGTAAAAGTGTATGTTGTTTCCCTCCAATTTATTTCACTTGAATTCAAATAAGTGGTTGTAATTTTGAAGTGAAAAGTTGTCATAAGGGTAAAATTGTAACTTCACTGTGCTAATCATTGTTGCCTTAATCTGTGTGTTATTTCTAAAGTGGACAACTAAAAAGGGACAGAGGGAGTATTATTCACTTGGTTTAATAATTATTAATAAATTTTATATTTTAAAATTGTAGTTGTTGGACTTTTAATGCTACCTTTATACAATTAAAATATTTATTATTTATTAAGATATTAAGATTAAATTTTAAATATTTATTTAGTGTAAAGGTAAAATGATAATTCAACTTTTCACTTTTGAGCTTCTCACTTTTAATAATATATATATAGATTGAATACTGGAAGTAGGGGTGGACATGCAGATGCAGTTCGATAAATTTGATTTTCAATTTTAGAAAATATTATACTGTAATCATATTAAACTAATCTGATATGATTTGATATTTGGTATTTTGGTATAACATTTTGATGTTTTAAGAAATGTCACAATTATATAATACTAACATGTTATATATATAGAAATGTTCAAGGAAAAAAAATACAAAGTAATTCTCTTCATTGATTAATTACACATAAAAAAAACATTTCTATCAAAAATAGTGCGTAGTCAAAGTTCAAACATCTAAACATTTAATTTTATGTTAGTACTAAATTATATATTTATTAGTATCATTACTATATATAATGAGCCGCGTGTATAAATATATACTTCGATCTAATTTTGTTATTTTTTAAATATAAAAATTGATTACCCTATCAAATATATAAATAATTATAATTTTATACATTAAATCATAATATCGAGATACATTATTAAAAATTTCAATTTCAATGTAATAATCTACCATATCATTCCCGCTCCAAAAAATTGAAGGCAAAGGTAGCAAGTGTAATTAATTTATGAGAGATAAATGTGGTGGCCTTTAATTCAATCTCATACTACTATAGTTTTTAATTTATGTGACTGACAATGACAGCTTCCTTAACAACTGCATACAACTAGCTATGTTCTATCATTTTCTTATTTATATCGAGATCTCTCCTTTTTATTAGGAGTAATTCTTTTATTTTATAGTACCAAATTGTGCTGTATATAAACTGTTAATTAAACATTCTACATTTGTGATTTTGTATTTTTGTATTAGTACTAATTATGAGTAGCTGATAAACTCAAGTTATTACTCAAAGCTCGTTTGAATTAGCTGATTAAAGAAGCTATTCACTTTTTTTTAGATAATGTTTCATTTAAAACGTTCTCTAATAAAAACAATTCAATATCTAAAGAAATTCAAATTTAAAATTTTTAATTAAAAATAAAAAAATATTTATCATTTCACCGTAATCTTTCTCACGGGAACTATTGATTATTATTTTTTCTATAAAAAAAAAAAAAAAAGTCATGTCAAGTGGAGTGAAAAAGGGAAAAAATTGAGGTCCTTTTGGTAATTTAGAAGTAGATTCTGGTACTTATATTATCTGTCACAGACGGAGAAAAACTACTTGTGCAGACTTCAAGCAGACAAATCCATAAAGGCAATGATGAGAGAGAACAAAACAATGGCATTCTTTAAGGTTTCTCTTTTAATTATACACAAAATAAATCCTTAAAATAATAAAAAGAAATCAAACGAAGCACAAAGAAAAACAAGACACCAGCTGGATATGGCAAACAAACAAGTAAACACCAGTTTATATTGTTCGAACTTTTTAAAAATATAGTTAAACGAGTTTGAATTCTCAAAAATTACATATTTTTGAAGAATTTGAAAGGTAGAAATGGAGTTGCCCTTGCTTAAGCAGCGTTAAGTGATACCCTTTTGTCAAAAAATATACAAGTTAAATTTTGATTTCATTTTCATATATATTTGATGTTGACAATCTCTTGACTCAAGATACAAAAGCTCTTAATGGTTGGGTGTTCAACTGTTCATCCTGGCTCCACCATTGTTGTATGTTGGCACCAATGATAATATTTTTAAAAAGTCTGAGCAACACCGCTTCAACAGTAGGTTGAAAACTTTGCTTTGGTATTTTCACTGAGACCAAAACTGAACAAAAGGTTCTTGTACCACAAGCAATACTCATAAGCATATTCTAAGTAGCAATTAACCAAAAGAATACAAAAACTCTTGATGATATTATATAAAATTCATTCTTTTCTTCTGCTACACTACTGGTCTATTACTACTACACTGCAATAGTTGGTCCCCACCCCACCCCACACCCCCACCCCACAGTACTGTATCAGTTGTTTGTATCTGCAACTAATTTTTCAGATTGCTTGTGGAAGTTTCAAAGCAATGTGTGTTACAAGTTACAGCTACCTCCCCAAAACAAGAGGAGCTAAAATGGGACTAAAGATCATAACTTTTAATACAAATAAGCAAACCCCATTAAAGAAAAATGACTAAAAGACAATTATTTAACCTCTCATGCAAATTCTTGTTGAAATTTCACTGCAGATAATTAATCTGGTTGGCAAAATTCATTGACTTCAAGTGGTGCTGGCATGTTAAGATCTATGAGCCTATTTGGTAAATTAGCTGAATTTGTTGATGAACAAGAACCTGTTATTGTTGATGAACTCATAACAACAAGATGTGATCTTTTATGTCCACCTAATGCTTGACCTGACTGAAAAAACTTCCCACAAAATGGACATTCATGCAATTTCTCATCCACCTGACTAACTAGTTTTAGTTTTCTCTTCGAAGATATTTTTCGCGCTTTCTCTTCATCATTATCATAGTTGTTTCTGTTTTTGTGAATAGTTTTATGACTACCTAAAGCTTGAGAAGTTTTGAACACTTTGTAACAAATCCCACATTGGTGTTGTTTTGGCTTCGATTTTGAATCTCTTGAAAGCATCATTAAACACATAGCAATGTCTGCATCATCTGAATACAAATTCAACGATCTGAAATCAGCAATTTTCACCTTCACTTCTTCGATTCTTTCATCATTTTCAACCATTCTTCGATTCCTCTTAGATCTTCTCCGATTTTCTGCGTTTTTTTCCGACTCAGTCTCACTTTCTCTGTCTCTTAGATCTATCATTCTGAAGCTTTTCTTCGGGTTTTCCCTCAACCCATAATTAAAATCCGATGAACAGAGTGATAAAGTTGACTCACTCCGGCCGCCGGAATCTTGATTTAACGGCGGAGTCTTAGGTGGGAGTGGTAGAGGTATTAAATGAGACCTCATATGACCACCTAAAGCTTTTCCATTTAAGAATTTCTTTGAACATAGCTTGCATTTATGGTTCTCCATACTATCATTCAACAAACAGAAGAAAAAACAGAGCAGATCAAAGATTAGCAATTTAGGAGAAAAGTTGAAGAAGAGTGGGAGTGGGAACTTAAGCTTTTAAGAGGAGTAGGTGACAAGCATTCCTCAACCAAAGAGAAAGAGGTTACAACACTATGATCCCAAAATTGGTCTAATAAAATTATGATAAAATTATCTAGATTTAGAATTTATTTATTACACTCCATCTCAATTTACTTGACACTTGGTTAAGTTTTTTTTAAAACTAAAAATGCTTCTTTTTACAATAAAAAAAAATAGAGTTTTGGTGTACTTGACCAAGATTTTTAGAAATTTTTTTTATATAAGTTTAGATACAACAACATATCTAGTGAAATTTCACCAAGTAGAGTTTAAGGAGGTTTCACCAAGTAGAATTTAAGAAGGATAAAATATACACAGATTTTATCATTACTTCGTGGAGATAAAAATGTTGTTTCTAAAAGAATTTCAATTCAAGTGTATCAAACTCACGTAGAAGAAAAAAGAAAATATATTTGTGAATAGTGACAAATAGTGTTTTTCCTAAAAATAATTCCTTTTAGTATTAATGAAAGTAAATAAAAAATCAAATTAATTAATTAAACAAAATTGTACTCTTCAAAAGTATTTAATTGAAAAGTATTATTCATAATAAGCAAATTTTTGAAATTTTGATCAAATAAGTTATTTATTAAGCGAGTATCGAACAGCGAGAGAAAGATAAAGAAATAACTTATTTATTTAATTTTTGATATTTTCTCTGTTTATTTGTAATAGAGGTAAATGAAAGGAATTGTATTAATGTGTGATTTGAATATTTCATGGGAAGGCAAAATGGGGTAATTTAATATAATTTTAAGCAAAGCATGATCATAAGTGGATAAAGAAGGACAGCTAACATGCACATGCTGCCTTATGAAGAAACATTTCCTTATTTTCATTTACTATTAATTATTGCTTTTACCTTTACATTTATTTTGTACTATCTTCTTATTTTTCTTGTCATATTGTTCTTGCAATTCTATTTGAAAATATATATTTTTTAGTCAAAATTCTATTGATTAAACTTCTCTACTCCAGAAAAAAATGAAGATAAGGTCTTCTGTGTATATCACATTCTTTTCTCCAATTTCATTTGTGAGATTACAATAGATATTTTTGATATGTCAGCTATTAATTATTGGTGTATAATTAGGTTCTTAATAATCCAAATAATTAAATGTGTTTCTTTTAAATTTTTCCTAAAGATTTTGTTGCCATATTTGCATGGATCTTTCTCCCTTTTGCCTTATTTCCACTTATTTTTGTAATTGATGAATAAAAGGGCACATGATAACCTGTTTCCCACCCTTTTATGAGATCTATTTTTTTTCAAATCAATTCTAGAAAATTTCTTCTTCTTTTTAAAATTTTCATATTTATATGTGTCTTTGAGCGTATGTGTTTAGATGAATCACACGTAATAATAGTTTGGTAGGAGGTATTAGAGAAAATAATAAATACTGTATTAATTATATAGGTTATTCAATATTACTTTTACTCGTAGTAAATCAAGACATTGATAAATAATATTATAAGTATTATTTCTATTCTAGTACACCTCATTCAGTTAACAAACCAAATGGGCAATAAAAAATAATACATGTCAACAAAATTAATTTTATCGTTATCAGTATATCATATTCAATATTATTTTTATATTTTTTACCAAACGACCACATTATGCAAAAAAATAATTCATTACTTGTATTCTCTTCTCATTTTTACTTGCCTAGTATTCTGAAAATATAGTAATACATTAATATGGATATGGCTGGCTTATGCAATACTAACTAGAAGTCAAGTAAATTGTTGGGTTTGTTGTAACTAAATCAGACGCCACTGATAAATCTTTATTTTCTTTTCTCATTTACCTTTTAATTTGCTTTACATTTTATGCATGAGAAAATGGTCTAAAACCCTCCCACCTATACCCGAAATCTCAACTACACACTTCAACTTCACGAGTATCCTATTACCCCCTTGAACTTCATATTTCTCTATTTTCTACACACTCAAACGCTCAACTTTTGTCATTACCAGATATACACATATGCTTGTATACATGCGCTAGGTGGGCCCACTTTCTTCAATTTTATTTTCCTATTTATTTCAGATGCAGTAGACCCCACTCTCTTTTAACTTATTCTTTTAATTAGGTTAAAACTCTCAATTCCAAACATAACCAACAACATGTCTACTCTTCAATTGAATATCAACCTTTCTTCTTCTTCTTCTACATTATTCTTAGCAGTAATGCAAGTCACAGTGACCCAAAAATTGTTCTTTTCAAGATTACTTGCTCCGCTACCCAAATAATTTTAACAATGTCATTTATCATGTGATGTAATATTTTAAAAAATAAATAAAATTGATCTATAAATGAAAAAATGGATGTTGCAAATTGGTATTTTCTAAATCAGTAAATCTTCAAGTTCAGATGTAATGGTGAAGGAGTTGGAGGAAGGTGAAAAGAATGGGTGTACATACATTGTGGTTCTATATTTATGAATTGAAGAGGGAAATAACTTATTTTTGGGCATTGACATGGAGAAGAAATCTCAAGCTCCATAGCTAGATCTAGTCGACTTTACAATTTTATTTTTATGAGTGAGAAAAATAACTTTGAACCCTGAATCTAGTAACGATTTTTTTTTACAGAAGATTAGAAACTCTAAAGGTTCAAGATTTGAAATGGAAGTTACCATTGAAGCTTTGAAATGAAAGACAATCGTTCCCAAGCTTCAAGCTTTTTATATGGCATAAGAAAGGAAGAAGAAGGAAGATTTGTGGGAGAAAAAAAGCTTAGAAATGCAAGTTGTAATTGAAAGCCTTAATTTTAGGTTGATTTGGACTTACACGTGGATTCCAAAATGCAGATAATGTGTTTTAGATACATCCTTACGCTCCTAAGGGAGGTGAGAACACCTCCTATGACAGGTCAGCATTTAAGTGTGTAGAAAATAGATAAATATAAAGTTCAAGGGGATAATAGCACATCCGTGAAACTGGAGTGAATAGTTGGAATTTCGGGTATAGATTGGAGGGTTTTAGACCATTTTCTCTTTTATGCAAAACAAAATCAAACATGAAATTAAAAGAAGAAAAGATTCTCCCTCGTGACTAATTTCTACTCAATTTTTTATATTACAAACGTTAATATATTACTTTTTGTAACAAAAATTGCTTTAAACTTTTATTTGTCTTAGTTTCATGAAAAAAAATCAATATAAAAAAGTATAACTACGTAGAAAATTAGGTGAGTCTAACATATAGAACACATATATAAAACAAAAAATCAACCTAGCTAAACGGTGTAATTTTTTTTTATAAAGGAGTGACTGCACTTATTGATACATGGTACACAAATGAATTTTTAGTGTGGAAATTTAAGTTCGATTTTAAATAATTTTATAGCGACATCGACTGTATGAGTAGTACTCTCATTATTCATAAATTCTAGATACGCCTCTGTTGGTGGATGGAGAAATTGAACTACATAAGTTTTTATTCCGTGATACAAATAAATGTGTTCTAATCTTTGAATTTTATTTGTCGTGTATCCCACAATCACATGCTTGATTTTGCTTAATCCCAATATTCTTTTATTATTCTTCCTCTTTTCACATTTAAATGTTTTTCAAAAGATAAACGTGAAAGCCAATTTACATTTTAATGTCAATTTATTTTTTAAAGATGATATTCTTTTATCAACAAACTAAAATGAGAGTGTGTCATTTTGTAATCCGTCCACTCATCACCAAACCTTCGAGTTCAAATTTTAGATATGAAAAAAAATAACTTAATAAAAGTGTTTTTTCTTTAAACGGAATTTTTAACGATGTGAAACAAGATTAATCATGATAGAATATGAATAAGGATCAAACATCAAATTAAAAAAAAAAAAAAAAAAAAAGAGTACTATTTAATATGTGCAAAGTTTAAAGTGGACAAATAAAAATGAAACGGAGAAAATATTTTATGTGTATGCAAGTTTCAATGCAAAAGCAATGTGACTTTAGCCTCTCTCTCTTTTTCAGAGCAGAGAAGCTGTGCAGTGATAGTACTAAAAACACTATTCAATGTTAATTTTGCCGTTAATTCTTCTTGTTTCTTTTTCTTCCAGGTAGAAAAGGTTTTTCTTGTCGATATTCATATTGAAGTCTATTAAGTAGGTGTTTGGTCATGCGATATCATATCACGATATGGTATCGTGAGATGGAATCAGCGTTTAGACATGCGATTTTATGCTGATTCCATCTCATGATTCCATATCATGAGATGTGGTTCCATATTCTCCAAAAATGATGATATGGAATTATATGGTAATTCCATATCATGATTTGAGATATTTTTAATACAAAAATTGATCCACAAGTTTATATTTTGTTAAAACAACCCCACATTTATATCTGCTAACCATTTATTTCATATGTAAATAAAATTTATAATCACATCATTACTTTTTAAAATTTATTATTCTCACCAACATAAAATTTATTATTCTCACCAACATATAGTTACTTTAACTCACACCAACCGATTGTTAAAGTGATGAAATATTTATGGTCTATGAGCATGAAAATATAGTTGTGGATGATATTGAACAACAAATGGCTCAAAGTAACAATGTTGGTTCGTCTTCTCGATCACATGATCGAGAAATGCAAGTTCAACGTGAGGAAATTGTCCGTACTATGTGGGAGGATTATATTAAAGACTAGTACACTACAATTTATGTTCAATTTTTTTTATTAAATTAAAGTTAGATGAAACAATTACTCAAGTGGAGAACAAATAGTTTTGTAATAATTTATTATGCGATTTTATAAATTTTTATTTATTTGATAAGATTGAATAAACAATTGAGGCTATTTTAATAGTTTTACAACTTATGAAATTTTTATGTTTATCAGAAAATATACAACACAAAAATTTCATAT